GATCTGTTATCAGAAGTCAATGTGTCCAAGTAATGTTTATTTCACAAATTAACAGTTTAAGGTAATGGCACACATGTATTATGTAAAAACAAACTTTTACGATTACGATTGATTTGACAGCAGTTATACATATATATATATATATATATATATATTCATTTGCAAAGTTATTATTTTTATTATATTATATTTATTATTTGGCCCATATTTCAAAGAGCTGGCATTCTCATCCACTTGATTTGTCTTCGAAAAGCGTGGCCTGTTTGGTAGTGGTAGAGGTATTATGTATATTTTAAATCCTTTCCCTAAATCTTCTCCCTGTCATACCACATTAGCATGCATATGACACATCCATTCTCTCAAAACTCCATGCTGTTTCTGTAATGTTGTTTTAACTGGTAATTATTTATCACCGCCTAAGGCACATTTTGTTAGTTGCTTTCACTTCTTGTTGCTACATGTTTTTAGAGTAAAAAATCCCTTGAGACAGCGTGTGTTTCAGTAACATCTCATTTTCCCCATATATATTCACAGTCATATATATTAATTTTTGTATATTTAGAGAGACAGGTATTACATATCATTAAGTCAATATTTCAGTCCTTGCTTCAGCCCAGGTTAGAAATACAGTCAATAATGCAAAGGGAATTGGAAATTGGTATCATTACCTCTCCAGTTAGTGTCCCAAATTATAGCGACAAGGGATGTGTTTCAGATTTGACCTCCAGGGTCAGCGATATGGCTCCTGCTTGACCTCTGGACAGCAACCTCAATGACCCCTGTGGCCAGGCTCCCTATTGGGCCTTGTTCTGTTTCAACATGCCTGTCGCCTCCAAGCTGTGATGCAACCTACGTTCAACGACAGAGTCTACGAGAAAAAGCCAGCAGGCAGGCAGGGAGCCAATCAGAAAATTGATCTGAGACAGCTGCATTGATGCAGATTGCATCTTTTGGATTGTATTTAACTTTTGTAATGAAAGAGACAAAAAGAAATAGAAAAAGGAGAGACTAAGCCAGTGGGGTGGGGTGAAATAAAAGAGTGATTGAGGTTGATCGTGAGACAAATAGAGTTCAGTTTGTTAGGCGCATTAGTAGGGAAGGTACAAACGCTATCAACCCTTCAGCTTGATGAATTAGTGGGAAATTTAAGGTGAGCTAAAGGAGAAAGACCTTCCTGAGTATAAATGCGTGTTGTCAGAGCTGACGCGTCACTCTAATCGTGTGTGAAACACACAGGAGTGGGAAGGAGGATGAAATCAATTAGCCGGTGAAGGTTAAAGGTGACAGCATTGCACATTCACAGGCGTCTAATAAAGGGCAATAGCACGGAAATAATCAATACCCATCAACCCAGCCCAGCTCCGACAACTGAAGGCTGATCATCAGTTTAGTTTATATTCCACCGTCGACGCTAAAATTCCAAACCCTGTCTATCATGCAGCATCCTCTACTAATATGGAAACTAATATTCCTACAGTATCAGGGTTGGGCACAATTCAAAACGGAAGAATTGGCTTCCTTTCAATCGATGAGTGAGAATTTGAATTGAAATGGCCACACCTCACAGGAAGTTGAATTGAAATGACAGGAAGTGGAATATACTGAACATCCATCCATCCATCCGCAAAAAAAAGACAGATAAGTGGGAAAAATATGCAAGACTACATATTTTTGAGTACAACTAATCGACTAGTAAGTCTTAACTCTTTTGGGTTCATTTTACCTCATTCAGGCACATTTCTTGTGTATGAAAACAGATATTCAGAATGAAACTGAACACAGGTCTCAAGAAACATTCAGGGATCAACGCTAAGGATTTTTTCTACTGGCCCTTGCCAACATTTTCACTGGCCCTGCCACAAAAATAAAATAGTTGCACTTGTAGACAAGTGACAGCCAGTAAATAAGAACAAATGAACAAATTACAAGTAATAGCATAATTAAATATAGGCCCATAGCCCAAAAATAGAAATGAAATGATGCTTTAGGTTTTTATGTTTGTAGATGTTCAGGTACAGAAATTGAAAAATCACATATAAAATAACATTTGCATATTCTTCATTCTGTATTGCACCTTGATTTTTCATAGCCATTTGAAATTAGAGGCAACCACTGCATTTTAATCATGAATTGAAAAAAAAAAGTGCAATGTTTGATTTATATTAGACTGTATCATTTCATAATCTGAAGCAAAAACAGAATAACCTGACTTTAGCTTTGTGAAATTATGCTTCATAAAACTGTATGAAACAGTAACAGCAGGTGGGCTGAATGAGACGCAGATTCACTCTCTGACAGCAAGCGGTGCTTATGGTACAGCGATACAGCGTTTCCTTGGTTACCGCTGTAAACACAGCAGCGCTGCGCGTATTAACACTAATTTAAATGCATCATACGGAGACAAAATGAAAAAACGCCATTTCTGAAAACAGTCAGTTCCGTTCCCCTCAGAAACACATTCATATAAAATTCAATGTATGGATTTTCTTCCTATATTTTGCGCATAGTGAACAGTGATCTTGTTCTGCCTGCTACAGTATTTTCTCCTCTTTGTGTCCGTCTTCAGCATCTCTGGCCTCTGTTAATGGGCGTTTACAGACTAAGTATAATAATAACGTAATATTTCCACACAAATGGCCATTGGGAAAATGATTGCAGTGCAGTTTTTGTGCAAGCACGGAACAGAAGATAGTCTGAAATAAAACAAAAAATGTCCGGTAGATTGGTGCATCTGTACTCCAGTGTATAAATTCAATATAGATTAATCATTGTTAAAGCTACAAAGTTACTTGCCAGGACGGGTATTTTGACATACTTTTGTTTTGTATGTATTTGCCCGTTCAGGCAGCTCGGGCCTTGCATTATTGCATTATTTAAAAAATTGCATTATTTTTAACACATTTCAACTGGATTTAAGTGATTTAATTCAGTACACACACACACACACACAAAATGTGTTGGTTCTGGGTTGAAACTGTTCAAGGCCTCGTGATGTTGCTGGGTAGATAGATGGCTGCAGGACAGATAAGACCAGCAGATTAGCATCTATCACGAATAACCATTGATCAAACTCACACTAAAGGCAAGAACCAAGCAGCCGCAGCAGAAAGAAAGCCAACAAGGTCTCATCAAAGAGATTGAGAAAGAGAAAGTGAACGAGATGGAGGAATGGATCCGCTGAGAGATAGATGAGACAAACCCATTGGCCACCCAATGATGCTCTTGGGAGTTTGAGAGGTCCTCATTTATATCCAGACCCTCATTAATGGACCGAAAATGTACATTAGGCGAAAGAGGCCAGATTACTAATATATAAATGTATATTTGCTCTCGATACGCCTGCATATCCCCCACAAGATAAGGGCTCTTCAGCACTGCATCAGATGTGCTATCATGTACTTTAAAGTATCTCTGCAGGCACAGAGAAGAAAAAACTTTCATAATAATTAAGCTCTTTATATCCATCTCTCTGCTCAGAAAGACCAGCACTGAAACCTCAGCCTTCAGTAGTTATATGTATTTGGTTATAGCCCTACTTGAGTTTTCAAAAGCCCTGCTTTGTGTCAAAGCAGTCCTAAAATGTGATGTGGATTAGTTTTGGTCATGCTTTTCAGAGCAAATCCTGACTGTTTATGGGCAAAGGTGTTCAGTGTTGGTTTTGTTACATATTTTCAGCTAAACATAGTGAGTGTTACTGTATGACCTCACTAGACTTCATAGCTCCAGAGTGCTGTTTGCATAGTAAAGACACTCTACACTAACCTTATCTTCTTGTGCAGAACTGGTACCAGAATGTGGCACTATGTACAATATCAGCTATGACAGCTTTACTGCATGCCACCAGCAGTACTAACACACTCACAGTTCTTCTCCTTGGGAGACTCAAGTTTAGACTAAACAAAACTGCCAGACTGTGTAACTGTAGGATTGTCTCACCTTGGAGGAGTTATATAGATAGCAGAACATCCCAGAAGCTCATATAGGCTCTATAGGGTCTTGATTTGTTGTGTGTGGATCTGCAGCTTCATAAGTTTCTTTTCTCCTCTTCAGTTCCTCCTCAGATCGTGGTGCGTCCGCGGGATCAGATCTCTGCCCAAGGCCGTACTGTCACTTTTCTTTGTGGAACGAAGGGAAATCCCCCTCCCGCTGTGTTCTGGCAGAAAGAAGGCAGTCAGGTAAGAGACAGCAGTACACAGATGCACGCCGGGGAACCCTTACAGTCAGTGTCAAAACACGTCACGGTATCTGCCGAATACTTTCGGTTGAAACTCTAGGGTAGTGACTAAATATATTAGTAAAAAAAACAAAGTATTGTTTTGAAAGGAATCAAAGACTAAAAGACTAAATTGAATCGCTTACTGATGGGTTTGGCCATGCTGAAATTCATAGAAAACGGAGTGTGAAAATTCAAATAAAAAATATAAATAAAGTCTAGCTTACTGTTGTTTTTACCGTGGGCTCAAAATATTTTGACACTTAAGCTACACTATTTAAATTAAATTATAAAAATGAATAAGATAGTAGATAGTGTAAAGAAAAAAAATCCAAACATCCATTAAAAATCATCTTGAGACCAATTGGTTAAATACTGTTTCAAAAGTGTAATGCGATCACTTTTTTTATTTTTATTTTTTTTGCTACCTTTTTTTTTTGTGTAATGCTAATAAATTTTTTTGAATGTGTGACCAGACTGTCCAAATTCTTTTTGAGGTCACTCGATATGTATTATTATGCAAGATGTTAGCACACTGTGGATCTGTGAGTGACACTTCTAAGATTGTGAGTGGGAAAGCAAGTCTAGTGCCCATATAGGCTGGGAATCTGATGGATTTATTTTTCATTATTCAGCTGATCTCACCTGGAGGATGAGTTTCTCGAGAAGCACTTTTGCTCTGAAAACAAATGTCTGGCTGTCTGTCTTTAAATCATAAGTATTGTCACTTGTAATCATATGTTTGCTGACATGACAGCAAACATATAATTACAAGTGACAGTACATACAATGTATTTGACAGCTGATCATGCATAACTGAACTCGAATCAGTGTGTGTTTATGAAATCTGTATGTACAGTAGGTGAATCTCATGAAATGTCCAGGTCATTTGCCTGGGTCATAAAAAACAAATGTATGTTTTTTTATTCAGTGTAACATTATAAGAAGCAAGAAGAACGACAGTTTTTTTTTTTCAAAGGGTTTCAGAGTCAGAGTCAGACAAAGAGAAAGAAATAGAGAGAGGATGCCTTGCAGCCAGTTTAGATACTGGTGACAGGCCATTCACCGGGTTAGAAGAAACTCTGGGATTTCTGGAGGAGCTTGTTCACATTCGTGTCTCCTCATTGGGTCAGAGGAGGATAGATGTCCCTGGGCCCAGCTAGATAACACACTCATGTCCCTATTAATAAAGCACAGCCGAAGAAATGAAGATATAAGCCTCTGGTTGTTCTAAAGCACTTGGAGGAAGGAAGCCAGTTCCCATATCCCTCCCTCCATCCTTTCTTATATCCTTCATCCTTCTTTTTTTTGTGTGTCATAGGCCAGAGGTGATCAAATATCCAGGCTGGCTGTACGCCAGGCCATGAACTCTTCTCCGGTTAATCTCTCGTCTATTCTTTGTTTTTCTGTGTGTGCATGTGTGGCCGATCTTTGAGGTCAGTGGATATAGAACAGAACTGAGGATGAGGGTGAGTCCAGTCAGAGCCAGAGGGCTGGGGTGAGGGGGTCACTGGATTATCCCCAAAAATGAAACAGTAACACACACACTGCCAAATAGGAACAATAGGGCAGCTGTCAGTGTTGCAGCCTCATGCTAAAGGAGGAAGACTCCTTAAAATCCTTCGGCCTTGTCTTTTGTGTATCTGGCATTCTTCCTGACCCCCCTCTCTAAAACACCAGCTGAGATATTGCAGCTATTGTTTGGCCCATTTGTGGACGTGAATCTCAGCAGTCAACTAAATTTATACCCGAGTATCACATTGAATGCATAGTGATGTTCTATTCAATTCCATTCATCAGTTATATCAGCGGACTGATTATCCCATATCCTTTTTTAATATATTTGTAGTTTGTATCAGTCACGAACAGTAAAGCAATATGCCACAAGAGGCTGCATGTTAAAATTATTTTACTGTGGTTAAGGGTGTTGAACATGGTAAAATCATGTTTGCTAACAGGCTAGAGTGAATTATTTGATTTAATAAAACAACAGCAGTAAAATGTTTATATGATCAAAGTGAATACATATTGGTTATCATATTTCATATGGTAAAAATAAAACAAATTTAAATAAATAAAAAATACACAGCGTGTAATGAGTTATTGTTTTTATAAGATAACGGTAATAAAATGTTTATAAGTGAATACATACTGGTTTATCATATTTCATATTGTAAAAATAAAACACATTTAAATAAATAAATACACAGTCTATAAAGAGTTATTGCATATCATATAAATTATCATTTTAATAAATTTTAACAAATTGTAATATTGACATATGCTATTAATATCACATAATGTTAATATATTATTTAAAACAAAATAAAAAATTATAAATATAATTTTAATCTGTAATTTTACAAAATGTAAGAATATAATTAAATGTATTAATTATAATAGTCAAACTCTAGCCTGTTTATAGTCAGTGTTGGGCAGTAACGCATTACTTAGTAACTTAGGGACTCCCGCAAAATTGAAATATCTAAACATAAAATATCTAAAACAAATAAATTGTTATTCATCTATTGCACAAAAGCAACATGAACTAATATAAAATATAAACGATTAACAGGTGCAAGCGTATGCAGAGTTTCTATTTAGGCTATAACATGTGTTTGCAGCGTTGAGCAATGCAGTGCTGAAATTTGCGTGCTCACGAATCCTCTCATTATAACACACGAATTGTAGACATTATGAAAGATTCATTATGCATATATTTATTGTGTTATAACAGCGATTTGTGAGATTGCGATGAACTGAGATGTCTTTTAGAGATTAAAAATGCAGCGCTCTTTGCTGGCATTCTGCCATGCCAAACCATGCACGCAGCAGCCACTTGCTTTAGTTAAAAATAACAGTGTTCTGTGAATGTTGATGCTTTAATAACAAATATTTATCGGGAGCGTGTATGCTTGGATTTCATAAATTTCATGGAGAAAAAAGTGATGTAACTAGTAATGTAACTCATTACTAATTACTTTTGAAATAAAGTATTCAGAACAGTAACGTGATTACTTTTAAAAGGAGTAATCAGTAATTTGATTACATTTTCAGAGTAACTTGCCCAACACTGTTTATAGTTGATGCATTAGTATAGAGTTTAACTGACGTATGCTGGCGTTTTATCTGCTATTCAAATGACTTGTCCAATCAGATTTAGGTGGGACTGTGATTATTTTTTGGTAAAAAAGAAAACAATGAATACGTTTTATATTGGTCTTTTGTGAGTTAATCTATTTCTGAGTTATCTATCTGAGCTATATAGCTAAAACTCATCAACTTTAAATGTGATTGATCATGTTTAGTCTTTTTGTTGTTGTTGTTGTTGTTTTAACAGTATTTGTTGATTTGAACAGGTCCTGCTGTTTCCCAGTCAGCCACCTTCACAGTCAGGCCGTTTTTCCGTGTCGTTAAGCGGAGAGCTGACCATTACAGATGTGCACAGCGAGGATTCTGGGTACTACATCTGTCAGGCCATCAGTGTGGCAGGCAGCATCTTGACCAAAGCCCTGCTGGAGGTGGAAAGCAGTGAGTAAATTCTTTAAACTAGCTTTGGACACACACATTCAGTTGCTCTTTCATATACCCCCACCAGCTACATCAAACAACGGCGGTTGGCGTGTATTGATATTTTAATATCAATCTAACTACATTAAAGGTCCAGAACTGTACATGTAATTGAATTGCTTGTGTGAGGCCTTATAACAAAGATTTTTTCTTTGCGTTTGAACAAATTGCCGCTTCGCCCGCCGTAGCCTTTTTTCTCTAAACCAAAATAAATTAAAAAGTCTTCAAAGCCGCCCCAAATTAAAATTTCTGCGTTCTGCAAATGGGAGAACAGCAGGAAGCTCTGGAGACGTAATCAGAAAGGACAGGGCACAATCGAGTTATGCAAATAACCCCAGGAACATATGCCGCTTCTATCATGCTCCCTGGTAACAGGATAAACTGTGTTATGTGTACTTCACGTGTGTGCGCATGTACATGAAAAACCTTCGCCAAGAGTCCAATATCTGCACAGTATGCTGTAGGTTTGCTAAAAAAAAAAATCTGACTTATGAAATATAATCACATTTCCCAGAAACCCCTGTGCCTGTAGTGGCCTCTAAGGATGATGACCCTGGCATGTTGGCATCATCTGACTGATGTTTGCTGTAATGTTCTTACATGATACACAATGAAATGATCTATGGAAGACATGTGCGGCACAGGGTCACTGCTCCCAAGGACATGGTTCTCGTGCCTATGAATTTCACATCATGTAGAAACACAATCCGGTTTTGTTTGAGCGATACAGCCCTCGTCTTCTTTCTGACCTTATGGTCTTTTCTTTTTCTTACCGCAGTGGAAGGAAAATGTCAGAGATGCAGGCTGCCTTTCCCGGGTCCTTGTTTTTCCAAATGAGGATGCTAAAGTAACCAAATTGTCAATTATTTATCTATGGACTTTTCTCCTCGCTTAGGTCAACAGACAGTAGGTTTTTCAGTTCTAGACAAACAAATAATAAATTATTCATGGAAACACGGTGGTGTTAAGCCATCACATTGGTCTATAGAAGGAGATGCAGCTGAACTACAGGAAATGGAAGAATAAATTGTAGAAGAACACAGGCTACTGTAATTATTCTAGAGTGCCGTGTTGAAAAGCATTATCGTGCATTTTACATGCTATATTGCCGCATACCTTTCAACCTGAAAAATATTTACAACTACCTGTGTGGAAAAGTGCAGTAAAATGCCATTTTTTTTCATTCAATGCTGTTACATACATTAGAGGTATATGTACATGGTCACATAAATATGATCATTAATGTAGACTGTGGAAATAATCTTACATAAATTACAGTTTCTTTATAGCTTTACATGATTTCATGCTTTCATTTAAAAAAAAAAGTATTTAAAAATATTTTTTAAAGCCATTTCAAGCCATTACACTACCATACCAAGCTTTGGTCTGGTAGGATTTTTTCATGTTTGTGAAAGAAGGCTGCATTTATTTGGTTGAAAATACATTAAAAACAGTTCTATTGTATCATTGTAAAATATTACAATTTAAAATAACTGGTTTCTGTTTTATGTAATTTATCCCTGTGATGTGATTCCTTTTCAGCATCATTACTCCAGTCTTCAGTGTCATATGATCCTTCAGAAATGTTTCTAATTATGCTAATTTGCTGCTCAAGAAACATTTCTTATTATTATCAATGTTGAAAACAGATTTGCTGCTTAATATTTGTTGAACTTTTTCCAGCAGTAGAAAATATCAGAAAATATATATTTTTTTGTCAGTAGAAAATATCAGTTTACATTTCCAAACATACTTTTTGCCATTAATTGTAATAATACAGTGAGATTTTTTTACATGAAGGATTACAAGAAGAAACAGAAAAACTGAGGCAGACTAAATCCAGAAGAACTGTGGCAATGTCTCCAAGATGCTTGAAGAAACCTTCCTACAAAGCTTCAGTACTGTCAAAAAGTTTTAGGCACTTGTGTAAAAATGCTGTAAAGTGAGGATGCTTTTAAAAATAATGTCATAAATAGATTTTATTTATCAATTAACTAAATCAAATTTGTTGTGACCACCCTTTTTGTTTAAAACTGCTTTTGTCCAAGGTACACTTGCACATAGGTAGGTTTCTTGAAGTGTCTTGGAGATGTTACCACAGTTCGTCTGGATTTAGTCTGTCTCCGTTTTTTTTCAGATTCTTCATGTAATCCCAGATGGACTGGATGATGGTGAGATCAGATCTCTGTGTGCAGCACTGGCTGTTGTCAGACTCCTTGTGCATACAAAAATCTCACTGGATTATTACTTTACTCCTATTAGTACTTTTGTACAGTACAGTACAGTACAGTATGTGTGTGTGTGTGTGTGTGTGTGTGTGTGTGTGTGTGTATATATATATATATATATATATAATGTCTTTAAGTCTGAGACATTAAGTAGGAATATACCACATCCAGCTTTGAATGGAGCACAGCATTAGTCTGAACACCTCCACCACTGATGATTTCCTAAAAACTGCATAATCTTCTTGGGGAAATGTTGTGTATTTAATACCATTCAGCTTTAGAGTAGATCCATCTTTACCAGTTATTGACCCATAAATGTTGTACAGCAAGCTTAAAAGCACAGAATAATCTTATTAGGGGTGCTCCGATTGATCGGCTACCGATCATTATCGGCCGATAATGACGTTGGAATGATTGATCGGCGGTCTCTAAAAGGCCGATATCAAAAAAATGATCTCAAGCTAATGACGCTGCCGTGAGAGGTTTGGCACGACATGCAGCATGTCTCAGTCTCTGTCCGGCGCGGGTGAAATAATTATAATGCTGAAGGTGAGGTACTCTTCAATAAGTTCAATATTTCTTCATTAAATAACTTACAAAGTAATTTGAAAACCTTGTGTGAGACGTAATTTCACAAACAGCGTGAGTTAATCACCGCGCGCGCTCTCTCTTTCTCTCTCAAAATACGCAAATGGCTTCAAATCACCACACATCGCGTCTGTCTATAAGTGAGCTGCACAGTTGACACAGGAATTGTCACTTGAACAATCGAGGCAATGTCACATCGTCACTAAAGTTTATACAAGTAAAGTAAAGTTTTTGCATTAACCGAGTCTATGTTTGCTGTGATACACGCACTGAATTAAAGTGACAGCACATTGTTTGCAGTACATATGAAAACGAAAATGTAGCAATTGCACCATAAATGCATTTAATTAAAGTATACTGTCTTTCACAGTCAACACATATGGCTTGATAGCTAGTTTTAAAGGAAAAGAGCACTTTTAGGTAAACAAGGCAATAATAGATGCACTCGTGGAGGTAGGAAAACAAAGTTCTTTATTTAGCAGGATTGCTTGTAATAAAGATTTCAATGCAAAAGGAAAGGCAGTAGAGCTGACTATTTCTGTCAATGGTAAGT